AAGCTACGTAATGATATTTTATAGGTTTTGATAAAACACAGAGTGATTTTGATAAACCACATGTTGAGGTTGAATAGCTCTGGGGGCAGTATATTCAACCTCAACATGTGGTTTATCAAAATGGCTCTTGTTAACCTATGCCTACTACCATACAGAATTAAGTAAGCAGGATGTGACCCTCCATTACAATCTATCTCTGGGATTTCCATGCGTAGGTGGAATTCATGGAAAACTCATCTTGGTTTGGATACTCTTAATCATGCTGATGGGTTTCTACATGAGTCAGACACCCAGCTGATCAAAAAAACCTCAGAACCTGTAGTGAGAGGAATTTACAATTGGTTTAGTATTTTCTACTGAATAAAGTATGACTTTGCAATTAGGGATAATAATCATCACATGTTTCTTCAATATCTCTCTCAATCTCAACATTATCTTTGTTAAAAATGTTCCCCATGTCTCATAAAATTGTATCTAATCTTATGAGTTTTATACAAATAAAATTGTATCTAATTTTATATACCTCAGCAAAACATCTCTGTCCTTTCTTCCATAGGAAGTGGGAAGGCAAATGGGGGTGGAAGGTGAATTTAGAAGTGATATCAGACACACGTCATTACTTAAAGAATTAAAATTTTTTGGAATAAACCACAAAGCAAGGTAATAGATACAAAATTGTAATTATCCAAAAGGCAATCAGATACCCTGATTGAATACACACATATAATAATAATCTTTGCTTTTGATATAGGATCTTATCACATCTCTGAGACGTTCCCTATCCTTTAAAGGATCCAGTTCAAGATCCTGGTCCTCACATACAAAGCCCTCCATGGCCTCCCCCGACCCTATATCTGCGACCTCCTAACACCCTACCAAACCTCCGTTCCCTCCACTCAGCCGGCTCTTACCTGCTCCACGTCCCCCGACCTACCCGCCCCACCATTGGCGGGAGAGCCTTCAGCCACTCTGCCCCCAACCTCTGGAATTCCATCCCCTCGCCCCCTCCTTAGCCGCCTTCAAGTCCCGCCTCAAGACCCTCCTCTTCAACCATGCCATCGGGCAGCCCACTTCCCCTCCCCTCCCTTACCCCCCCAACCCCAGCTCGGGTCTAAAATACTGTACTCTGTCCAGCGCCTTACAAATATAATCTTGTTGTTTCAAAGAGCTTCACAGAACATACTGTAAAGTGAATTGACTGTATATTTTGTGGGCAAAATGCAGCAGCTAATTGCGCACAGCAGAGTCCCACAAACAGTCGTGGATTGAGTGACCAAGTTATTATTATTTTTTTTAAGGAATTATTACCCCCAGAAAAGCAATCCGCCAATCAACTGACAACTGGATTCCTACTTACTGCTAGATAAACAGTGGCGTGTGGAGTAAGGAAACTTGCCTAGCGTTTTGCCCTGCCTGGGAATCAAACCCATGTCTTTCGCTTGCGAGGCAAGTGCTCTAACTGTAACAGGACTCTAAGTCACATGAGATATGAGGTTCACATCTCACATGAGATATGAGGTTCAGCAAATCAAAAATGACCTTTCCTCATCCATAATTTTGTTTTGTCTTCTATTATCCTGAGGTGGGGCAGAGCTGAGCTGGCTTCAAAGTGACCCTGATTACCAAAGTTTACCAAGTCAACCCTCTGTGGCTGGTTCCCAAGCCAGGCAGTACTCCAGCGCATGTCAATACAAGCTATGTGTTAGCTGGTTGAATTCCAGTAGTATCCCAACATACATTTTGTGGTTCCCAAGCTTGGCTCTTGCCTACCTGCACCTAATACTCTTCAGGATTAAGTAGGCAGAATACTTCCCTCCATGGAGAGAGTGTACATTCTATTCCAGACATAGGGAAATTACCGTATGTAGGTGGATATAACTAGATGTGAAACTTACAATCTGCTTTGGGTATTCCAAAAAATGTGATGGGTTTCTGCGTGTCAGACACATAGCTGACCCAGAAAAAATTGTTACGTCAGCACCAACCAAGATTATGAAATTGAACTGCAGCAGTTGTATGAAACAAGTTACAGCTCCTGGGGCATCCTTCAATGGCTCATTTTCAATCAGTATACTGTAAAGATAATAATCCTGGGATTTGGTATAATGTCTATCATGGCAAAGCGCTTCACAGGATTTACTGTGAAATGGAGTGGCTGTATATTTGTAGGCAAACCAGCAATACAATTGTGCACAGCAATGTCCCACAAACAAACATGAAACAAATTACCAATTTGTATCTGGAGGATTGTTGCCCAGGACACTGGGAGAAACTCCCTTCTCTTTTCGCATGGTGCCATGGAATCTTTAACGTCCAGTTGAACAGGCAGACTGAACCTCGGTTTAACGTCTCATTCGAAGGACAGCACCTTCGACAATGCAACTCATCCTCAGCACTGCATTGGAGTGTCATCAGACTATACGAATTCCAAGTCCTGAGGTGTGACTTGAACCCACAACCTCAAAAGGCTAACGCTGAACCAGGTTGACACACAGTATTACTAACGGCTTAAAGGAGAAGTTACGTCTGTGGATTAAGTTATTCTGCGTCACTTTTGTAAAAAAAAGCATTTATATTTAAAAACTAAAGGCAGATTTAGTTGGGCATTAATTTCTATCATATTAGTTTACATTTTCCAAGATATAAACGACCACTTGGGCCTCTCTGCAAATTGGTTTTGAAATCTGGGATGGTTAAGACACACTTGTCTAGCCAGTAGAATGTGAAAGTGCATATAATGGCCCAACCCTAGTTCATTTATAAGGTGTAAATGACCAGATAGAATCAGCTTGGTTTATTCCAATCCAATGTCTACTAGAATAAAAGCATAATGTGCATAAACTGTCTGTAATACACTGGCATTCTCCAGTTAGATCACAGAATGGTGGGGGTGGGGACAGAAGGGTAGGTTAGCAGGGTCTCCTTGGGGCTGAACTGACCAAGATTGACAAAGGAATGTCAGAATTGAGTCAACCGTCTGTGGCAGTCTCAGGTGGTCCGATTCCTGAGCCAGTCGGATCTGCAGTACTCCAGGGCACTGCTGATGTCAGTTCGGCCAGTGTGACTCATTGGTATAAAAGGGAGGGATAGACTGGCCATTGGGGACAAAGATTCTACCCATTTGGCTCCTGTTAACCCTACAAGTCAAAGTCAAAGGCCTAATGGGTAGGGTAATCTTAGTTGGACAAGCAGCTTGAAGCTTGTCATACAGTGTTTTCAATGGCAAGCTATGCGGTTTTAGCTGCTTAAACTCCAGCAGTAATCCAGCTCACATTCTGTAGCCTTCAAACCTTCGTTCTAATATTCATACATAACTTTTCAATTGAGATCTGTGCAAAATTGTAATACTGAATCATTATTGATCTCAGCCAAAGCCTCCAGACAAGTGGGGCAACCTCCTTGTCCTCCTTCCCCAAGGAAAAGAAACAAACATTTTGGTGGGGAATGCTATTTGTATGGCTATGTTCATGCTTTCAGGATAGCAAGGGATGATTTCTTTATACACAGTTGTAAAAGAAACAAGTCAAGTTATCCTTCGAGAATTAAATTCTCAACCACAATATCTCATGTGTGGTTTAAAATGGGAGAAGGACAGCGACGAGGTAAGTAGGGGCTATCTGAATTGCACTTCCAAGAATTCCAAGTCAACTCTGCAGTGATGTTGCCAAAAAATAATGTCAACACACAGACCTGGCATTCAGCAGCAAAGATGCTGGTGCTGCCAATGGCCAAACAGTCAATGGCTGTTACTTCTCAAATGATAGATTAAAATTAGCATGAATCATTGTCAAACGGATAACCAGTTGATCCTGAATTATCATAAGGACATATTATATCATAAGGACAAAAAAAAATCAAAATAAATGAGACTTATTTCTCATGCGAGGCTCTTCCTAGACAGAATTGTTTCCTCTGTAATGTTTATCTGTTTAACCACTATTTATAAACATGAAATTCACCAACATTGTCACTGTAAAAAAAAACTGGAATGAAACCGCCAAGACACATACGGAAACCGTCCACATTGCTTAAGAGTGTCCAAATGAAGCTGAGATTTCCATGCATCCCACCTACACATGCATTTAATTTATTACATGAATAAAGGATTTTAATTTGATTTACTACATCAATAAATAATCTGTCAGATTAATGTCCATTAATGAGTTCATTCATTTGACAGATTTACAGGTGACATGCAAGAAATGAACGCAAAACAATACAAAGCAAAAACATAAAATCTGATAGAACCAAGGCTCAAGATTCAAATCTCGGTAGAGAAGGGAAACACGAGCATTGATTCCAAAGCAGCCGTGGAGACGCAAATATTTTTTGCTGACAGGAAAAAAAGGAGTTTCGCACAGAACAAAGATGCACGGTACTAACTCGAGAACGAATGACCCCAGTTCCTGGCAGGTCAGATGCAAGACTCCTCGGTCCGCACTTGAAGCACGTTAAGGCGTCTAAACATGAACGGTACCGCATTAATAATAGCAACTGAAACAAGACAGAAGGACAGCCAAACTGCCATCCAATGAAGCCAAACTCTCGCTCCAAACCCTGTTGGATGACTTCCATTTCCACAGACCAGACCACAGGTTAATCCAACAAAAGTGACAACAACAACAACAACAACAACAATTACTTTCAAGTCGGGAGGACACCCCAAAGACACACACACACACACAGACAGACACACACACACCAAATGTCAACCCAACTCACTTGCACCGACTTGAAGACTGATGCCAAACAGCAGCAGGAGAGAGAGAGAGAGAGAGAGAGAGAGAGAGAGAGAAAAAAAAGGGGAGTTGAAGAAAAAGAAACGTAAAGGAAAAAATATTTATCTCTCTCTCTCTCTCCACCCACTCAACCCAACCCAACCAATTTCTCCCCAACCCCCCTCCCTCTCTCTCTCTCTCTCTCTCTCTCTACCCCCTCTTTCCGTCTGCGGGTCGGGAGAAGCTAAATAAAGAGATGCCCACGGGCTCGGGTTACAGTACCTTCAGGTACTTGTCCATCCTCCTCCTCCTCCTCCTCCCCGCTGCTGCTGCCCCAGTGGAGCGGCCATGCCCGCGGGACGGGCTCTATCCCAGCAGCTCTCTCCTGCGGGTGCAACCACCAGGAGGGACACCAGGCAGACTGTGCTGTGCTGGAGGAGAGGGCGGGTGGAGGGGGGGGGGGGGGGGTGGGGGGGGAGGGGGTCATGTAAGCATCGGGGCTCACTTCCTGGAACATGCACTTAAGATGCATTTAGGGCGGGCGGTTCTCTTTCTCTCTCTCCCTCTCTCTCTCCCTCTCCCTCTCTGAGCCACAGCCGCTTGTGTAACCGCACAGGGCAGTGATGAGCGATTGAGCAGTGACAGCAGCTCCCGGGCTGCCCCCCCCCCACCCCACCACCCCACCCCGTGCCAACAGCTAACCACTGAGCCGCGATGAGCCGCGATGCGCTGCGCTGCGTGTGAGTGAGTGAGTGAGTGAGTGAGTGCCCACACAATCACTGCAGTTTCACTATAAGTTGCAGTCGTGTTGGAAATACCACCAGCTTCCCCCCCCTCACCCCACCCCTCCCTCCCTCTCTCCCCCCCTCCCTCCCTCTCTCCCTCCCTCCCTCTCTCTCCACCCACACGATATAGTTTTTGCATTTTTTTTTTTGGTGCGGTGGATATTTCTCAATTGAATTATTGTGGGGGTAACGTTGGACAAGTACTGAATCCACTTGGATCTACTGAACAGACAGGGAACGATTTCTGCTGAGATGAAGAAATGCTCCTATGGAAGGATCGCAGTCGTGTTTGCATCATTGCTCTTTGTGAACAGGTCACCGTTGGGAGTCCCAGGTTTGTCCAGGAATAGGGATGGAGTGGGACTGAATGGGTATTGCATTCAGAGTTTGTTTGATTGCTTCCCAAGGATCAGAAGGTGTCTGTGCAGAACTTTTCGTCTGATGTAGCAAATGGGTGGTTTGGTCTGTGGGAGGAATAAACTTCATGCAGAAGAAGGTCAAAGGATTTGAGGTCGGTGGTGACTCAATTTCTTGTTGCCCTCAGTTATTTGTAACCGTGTCATTGGTCAGGTTTATGTGAGGGAAACACCTGGTCTGAGCTTTGTTTGACAATATAATGTTATGACTGGTTGGAAGTTATTGGTAGGAAAGATTTGTATTGATATTGAATTGAATTGATTGAATTGAATTGATATGTGCTGAATTCCTTGCTTTGAATCAGATGGGGTTTTTTTTTTGCTCAGCTGAGTGTCTGACACATGGGGAAACCCATCACAGTGCTTAAGAGTATCCAAACCAAGCTGCGATTTTCACGCATCCCATCTACACATGGAAATTCCAGAGATAGGTTGTTGAAGATAGATCAGCACTCTCTCTCTCTCCCCCCCACTCCCCACCCCCCAGGGGCGGATCCTGCTTACCTAATTCCAGAAGGTGTTATAATAATAATAATCCTTACATTTGATGTAGCGCTTTTCACATCTTCGAGACGTCTCAAAGCGCTTCACAGAATATACTGTAAAGTGACTGCTTTTTTGTGTGGGCGACACGCGGCAGCCAATTACGCACAGCCATGTCCCACAAACAGTCGTGCATTGAAGTGACCAAATTATTATTGTTTTTTTTTCTTGAAGGTTATTATCAGGTGTGTGGAATAAGGAAACTTGCCCAAGGTTTTGCCCTGCCGGGAATCGAACCCAAGTCTCTCGCTTGTGAGGCAAGTACTCTAACCACTGAGCTACGGGACTTAACCACTAAATTATTATTATTATTATTAACCACTAAATCTTGAAAAAGAGAAAAAATGGTCTGGTGGACAAACTTAAAATTATCAATGCCAATGGAGGCGATGTATGTTAAGAACATATATCACTATTGTATTTTGAAAAGAGATTTAATTCTACTGCACACATGGTAAATTCTAGCTTTAGAAAAAAATCTGAATATTTCATAAGGGTCAAATATTTGGAATAGTCATCTTCAATTTAAGGTTTGTTCTCAGGTAAGAAACATGAACCAACACTGGTCAACATTAAGGCTGGTCTTAAGAGTGGAACTCACTTTTTCCAAATTTGAAATATTGAGGACACGAACAGATCGGGCTTAACGCAGAGTGAAAGATTTTTTAATAATAAAGCCGTAAGTTGACAATATAGCTCAGAAATTAAATGAGATAGTGGCGCTCTGCAGCATTAGGATTTATGTTGGCTTCCCTTTTAGCTTGGTGTCTGATTGGCTCAACTTCGCAGCGAGGTCTCCTCGATCATAGGCACCATTGCCGACATCTTCCCACGTCAATTTGAGCCCTCCTAGTTTATTGGAAAGGATTTTTAAGGAGCTTGCTTATACCATCCTGGCCTGAATGGATGCTAACTCAGGAACCCAAAAGACTAATATCAAGTCTTATTTCTTTGACTCCTTATTTTCATAGCATACATTGAAAAGTACATAGCAATATTCATTTTGGGGCAATATGTCATATAATTTTCATCCATTGGTCCAAACAGATTGTGATTTTTTTCCTCTTCTTCACATCTTCAGAATTCTTGTGAACTTTCATCTCAGCAAAAATGGACAAGACCTTCTCATTAATCTTAATAGGCGCAGGTTGGCAAGAGCCAAAGCTTGGAGATCCCAAAGTGTGCATTGGGTACCAAAGGTACTCTCTTCGATCGTGCCTTTGATCTCCCTTCCACCTCTCTGCCTTCCCTCACTTGGTCCCCAACATGAATAATAATAAGAATAACTGCTGCTGCTGCTGCTCAGAGAACTATGGACCTGCCCGGATCAGGAACAACAACAAAATTACATTTATAGAGAACCTTTCTCATCGGGAGAACGTCCCAAAGCGCTGAACAATCAGGTGTCTTGGCCCAAACATGGGGGAGGGGTGGTGTAGGGGTGAGAGAAGGCAGAGAGGTGTGAGGGAGACCAAAGGCATGGTCGAAGAGAAGGGTCTCGAGACTGGCCTTGAAGGAGGCAAGGGAGGAAACGAGGCCAAGGGACCGTGGGATGGAGTTCCAGAGTGTGGGGGCAGAGAGGCTGAAAGCCCGATGGTAGGGCGGGTCGGGCGGGAGACATGGAGCAGGCCGGAGCCCGATGAATGGAGGGAGCAGACAGGTTGGTAGGCAGCCAGCAGGTCAGAGAGGTAGGAGGGTGTAAGGCCATGGATGGCCTTAAAGGTGAGGACGAGGATCTTGAACTTGAGAACCAGACTACTGACACAACTACAGAGGGCTGGCTCTGGAGCTCTGAGTGTATCCTGCTTACCTCATTCCCCACCACCACCCTATCTGTATCACTACCTTCTGTGTCAAGTAGTTCCTGTTAAATTATCTGTTTGATCCTCTAGTTGCTATCTTATATTTGTGTCCCCTGGTTACGGACTCCACAACCAGTGGAAACAGCCTATTTATCAAAACCTTTTATAATTTTAAACACTTCTGTTAGGGCCCATCTTAAATGTCTCTTCTCCAGCAAAAAAAAGCCTATTCAATCCAGTCTATCCTGATAGCATTAATCTGCCAGCCCTGGTATCATTTTTGTAAATCTACACTGTACTATTTCCATCTCTGCATATATTCGTCTTAAAGTGTGGAGACTAGAATTGGATACAATATTCCAAATGTGGTCTAACCAAGGTTTGGTATAAATTCAATATCGCCTCCTCTCTTTTATATTCTTTCCCTCTAGATATAAAGCCCAAAACCTCATTGGTCTTTGTTATAGCGTATCCACCTGTGTGGCTACTTTTAGAGAATTGAATCCACAGATTTCTTTGCTCCTTTTAGGTTTCTACCATTTACTAGAGATGGCTTGTTTATTTTTTCTGTTGAAGTGAATTACTTCATATTTTCCTACATTAAATTTAATTTACAATCTATCTGCCCATTCTGCTATCCTCTATGTCTTTCTGTGTTCTTCTCTTCCCTTCCCCCCATACTCTGATAGCACATCAGTACTCAGTGAAGAATTACATTTGGCTGAGGTACTGGGAGGCTGGTTGACCTTCGTGGCTCTCTACCCCAGCACGATCAATGCCTACAGAAGAGGAGGGAATTAAATTTACTTTATTAGTGAAATCTTAAAACGGTTTAGGGTATAACTGGTGTACCTTACAAACAAAAGGATAAAATGCTATTGATTTTCTTTTTTTAAAAAAACTGAGAGTTAATCAGAACTTACTTCACTTACAGCGAGATACTGACCACATATAATCTGTTAGTTTTGAGAACTGCATAGTAACTTGTATTTATATAACACTCTTCAGGAATGATAGAGTGTCGGAGAGATGATAAGCTTAGAGTGCAGAACTAGTACATGTTTACCGAAACACAGCAAAGTTTTACATATTTGTTCATTATTGTGAAAGATATGACCTGTTTATGCAATTTTCAACAATAATTCCCACTGTGAGATAACTGACATAGAATTACCCCATCACACGTAGGAAATATTCTTTTAGGATGGTGTAGCATTCTATAATTATTGCTTTCACATTTTGCGAATGATTTAAGCAGAAGTGTTGGATTAGAACACAAGCATTTATGTGTTCTGATGCACAGCTCTATCTTGAAGCCAATAATATATAATTGACTGTATAAATCATTGAGATTATGAGAGCAACCTCAAACTATATGAACTTGCCAAAAATCAGTCAGACTTGGCAAATTTGTGTTTATTTTTTTTAATCACTTGACTGAAATCATTCCAAAACTAATAGTAGCACAAAATCAACTAATGAAATGTTGCGATGGAAACTATGTGACTAAAAAGCCTTTTCGTTCTAGCAGAGATCATTCGGGTACATTGCTTCACAATTTTTGGTCATCAACGTGTTAGCACCTGTTTCAGATAAAAGTGAAGATGCTACAAAGGAATATATAGCTCTCAATACAAGAGTATTTTTTTATATATGTAGACTGGCAGATCAGTAAATCAAATTAAATTTTAAATAAATTCTGTGCTATCCTACATTTCATGTTTAGCTATGATCACACTAAGCGGTTAATGCAATGCTT